TGATTTGGTCTGGGTGTTTCTATTTATAATATGTATGTATTTACAAAAAAAAGTATATATGTATTTATATCAGTTGTCTAGTAGCCATAGAACAAGCTCTGCTTAGTTTGGGACTAGATGGCGTTGTGTGAATGTGGTGGAATATTATTATTGTTATTATCTCCTTTACAAACCTAGGTGAGAGGAATACCACACCATCACACTATACATTACTTAATGATATTAAATTTACGTACTTTGCTTTTGCATTATATTGTTAGAAAAAGATTAGATTAATAGATAATTCACCAGGGGTAGCTGCTGTACTGTACTGTACACATACTTAGTTGTCACATTATTAAGGATATTTAAATTTATATAAAAAAATATTTAGAACATACGAGTATTTGTGTTTTCTTTTTGTAAAATTACTATTAAAACGTAGAGGCCTGAATTTTTATTTTTTTAAATGAGCAAACTCGAGAACTTGTCAATTCTGAAAATAGATTTAAACGAGTGTTTGCTATTGGTCTGTGGTTTTTCTTAATAAAAAGAAGAAAAAAGACATGTCCAAACGTGTAGTAACAGCTAAATTATGATGCTATTTAAGTGTTCTTGTAATGTTTATATTAAAAATGTTTGTTTTGTGTTACCGTTGATCAGTATCTTTACGGGTCATTATAAAATAGATAAAATTATAACGACCAATAAATTATTTTTTAGGAAAAGACTTTTGACTCCGTAAACCTTAATCGATCTCACATTAATATTTATCAAAGCTTCTGTATCCCGTAGTTCTAAAAGAATTTGTAATTTTTCTCAAAAATGCGATTTAAATTCCAAATGTAAGGTTCATAATCTTGAATTTGTATTCATCCAACTTTCTTGTTTACTTATTTAAATTATAAATTACCTACTTTGTATTTGTGTAAGAGTGTATTTTAATACAGATTATGTCATACTCAATGTATCTATTAAGTAAACTGACAATTATGTAATGACTTCAATGACATTACGAAGTCAAATAGTGAAGGTCATTATTTGACGGATTAATTAAAATTATATTTGAAATGATTGCCCGGAACGTTTAAAATAATACTCACGTGATAAAAGGAATATTCAATCAAATAATTCACGCGCAAAGTATACCAAACTAAGCATATCCTTTGTTTTCATTATGATGGTTATTTCGGCATTCACTAGCTGACCTATCAATAAGAGACAAATGACATAGAATAAATATGAGACCCGATCTATACGATGATCACGCTGGTTTCAATTGTAATGAATCCAAACTGCTTTCAAAGTAAGTCATTGTCCCATTCGATTCAGAATTCATCTATAAAATTATTAGGCCTCTTTGCGGTTTTGGCAAGTATTAAATACTTTATAACTAAATAAAAAAGAAATAAAACCGAGCATGTTATAGGTACAGTAATAAGGAACTTTTGACATGATGATCAGGATATTATTAAAATCTTCCAGATCTATTGCGACTCCACATCCACTCCATATTGCCTACCTAATTTAAAATTTCCATCTCATCTCGCCATCTCAGTCAAAGTTTATCGCATGTTGCTCACCGAGTCGTGGGAACCAATTAGTTGTTGGTTTACCCTAAGTTTAACGTAACATTCGGCAGACATACCTAATTAGATCTGCATCTTTACGAGCCATGACTGGGCTTTGGATGGATGAACAACGCAAGTTTTTATACATATAACATATGTATTCAGGCACAGAGCTAGAAAGTACGACACACAGTTTGAATTCATGTCACACATATATAAGCCATCATATAGATACCTAGTTACTCCATTATAACCTCTAGTGATAAACGTTTTAAATTTCAAGCAAATTTTTCGAAATCAACGCTCTGTAGTTTAAAGTGTCATCATCATCATCATCATCAACAGCCTATACTAGTCCACTGCTGGACATAGGCCTCTCCTTAGAAAGGAGGTTTTGGCCTACTATACCACGCTGGCCAGACGGGTTGGTATAGGGTTAGTTTAGAGTGTGTTTGTATAAAATTTATCATAGCATTCTTATTTATATATTAATTTATGATGGTTAGAAAATATTAAGGAAGCTTGGAAAATATTCATGACTAGATCCTGAATATTTACCAAGTATTATTTTCTTTCAAGTCAATCTGTTTGAGGTGATACATAATTCTCGACCATCGTTTACGAAAAAACTATATATTTTATTTAGGTATTACTTATTTTTTTAAACTTTTAAGTGCAACGACAGCCATTAAGTAGTTGCATATTACAACATAAATGCATTTTTTTTTATTAGTTAAAATATTAAATATTAATATTACAGAGTGCTCACATATTGAATAAACAATACTTACAAACATATGATATTGCATTTTTTTTGTGAGTAGGTACTTTAGTGAACACTAGATTATAATTACTGTTCGGGAATATCACATATGATGTAAATACATATTTCTAATTTACACGATTTTTATTCTGGAATTTATTTTCTACAACAATTGTCGTATATGGATCGTGAATAACTAAATTTTATTTGCCATATTTTTCCATATTTCAAGGTTAAATCCGTATTTTACAAAAAAAAACTATTACAATCATCCACATTTTCAATTTATACATTTATGATAGAAAAAGAGTTACTTCATAAACATAGGTTTAATATGGTGCGTTTCCGCTACTGAACTAATGAAGTGGCAAAACAAAAACTAAAGTATGTTTTGGAAAAAAGAAAAAACATTTGGTACACTAAAAAATTAAGGAAATGCTGTGCGGTAGTTTTGAGGGCGCTGTAGCCGTGGGTTACACGCTTCCAGATTTATGCATGTTTAAGTATGCTATTAGAACGAATCGTCAATTTTTTTTTTTGAAAATTTAAAGAAACATGAAATTTTACTATATACTACTATACTATACTATATACTCGTATACTGAAACCAATATAAAAAAGTAATGTAATGGACGTGAAATAAAACTATTCATTTCGTTGAATTACATATTTTTTAAGCTTTTTTAATAAAACTATTACCATATGTAAATGATTATTCACAGTAAACAAAGTTTAAAATTAAAGGTATTGTTAATTTATACACCAAATTTGTCTAGTTTCAATTTTTTGGTCTATGTTAAATGTACGTATTTTTTATTTTTTATGCATATTTATCCGGGCCCTATACAAATATAACAGAGCTGCTTTTGACAGATAATCAAGTAGTGAAATTATATTCAGTAGTTCCTTTATACTTTGCCACAAAATTATAAAATAAAATAAAAACAATATTAGAAATAGTCAACCATTCAAATAACAATGCGTTTCTATTAATAATCAATTTTACAATTAGTTCACTAGGATTTCTAGTACCATAGCATTAGACATTATTAGTGAATCGTGCTCATAAGGTAGTTATATTTGTAGTAAGATATTTATGAATAGTTTTGAAATAACTACTACAGTATACTTTAGTCATATCTTTATGTATAGTGATCTTTATATATAGGACATAAGATAGTATCAAATATACGTTTTTTTTGTATCTATATTGTTTATTTCGTTGAATATGTAAGTGTATACAGGCATAGTAGGTAATGTATTTCTTTTATTTTGTTTTTGAATTTAAAAATGTGTAAATAATAAAATAATTAATATATTTTTTTACAACGTATCTAGTTGTTGTACAAAGGCTGTCTGTAAAAAATCTATCGACGATTATCAAAACAGTTTATTGTTTAGTAGTTTATTGGGTATTAAAAACATCCTATTTTGTTTAGTAAGAATAATTAACATTATGGGTCTTTATCATTTTGATATGCCTGCACTCGCGAGATTTTTCAGAATTTCGTGGTTGTTTATGGTTGTAAAGTTTTTCTTTCAATAAATGTTTCAGACTTTCTGAATCATTTACAAAAAAAGAACCAATTGCAGGTTTTATGTTCAGCTATCTGTTGTACTCTTCCATTGAAAACGATTTCTTTTATCAATAGATGTAAGATATAATATGTATAATGTAAAAACGATACTTTAACAAAGGCCTCCCCAATTGCACGCCACTTAGATCGATTTTGGGTTTCTCGCATCCAGCTCCTACCAGCCATCTTGCGCAAATCGTCACTCTACTTGGCCTGTGGGCGTCCTACACTACGTTTGTCGAGACCATTTCTTAAATTAACAAAAAGTTTTATTTTTTTATTTTAAACAAGGTATCTACATCGCCAAGAATTATTGATAAAAACTGAATTAAAAAGACTTAACTTATGAAACTTCAAATAACATTTCAAAAAACAGCTTTCCGTGGCAACCAGTAATTAAGGGAGCACTAATGGTTGTATATCACTGCCATTGTATCTCTTGCTTTTAAGGTGTATGTTCTTGTTGGTTGTCCAAATAAATAAATAAACATACGTACAACATAACGTCTATTCCAAGTCAAATATAATACTAACACGAAGCTCCTAATATTATCAACTAAGAACCTATAAAAATAGAATTATTGTGTTACTGTAATTAGTACAAAGAGCCATTAAATATTTATTTGCGTAGTTTGTGCTAAAATATAAGTTAACTTAAGTATGTTGGAAGAAAAACAATCAAAATAAAAATAAAAACATATAGGTAGCACAGTATAATACTCGGTTTAATCGGTAGGTTAATAAAATGTAATGAAGCTTAACTATGATGCATCTAGAATCGTATCGAATCGAATGTACCTAATCGAATTTTCGTAAACATTAGAATACCATCCAGAATCAAACAATGAGTAAATCGTTTGTGTAGGTACGCGTACCTAAATAGAGCAAAAATCATGTGTTCTTAAACTCGATTACATATTTTTAAGTGTAAAATATCTTTACGTAGGTACATATGCAATATAACATACTAATGTGTTCAAGTGAATGAAGTCGAAACGTAATCTCGTAATGTTTTGATTCAGGGCATGGTAGAAAATGATTTAGCTCCCCTAATTTATTTTAATATTTATTATAACCGATTAAAATAAATATATAAATAAGGATACTTACCAAAACTCCAAATAAACTGCATCAACACAAGAAACAAGAAACCCGCCATAGTTAACACGTTCACTGATGATTTCAAATTTATTTTTAAATGCAGAACTAGTTCTGTAATAGGTACCAGTAATAGGTACAATAATAATTAGCGTATCGATACAAGTACGTCGGACGAGAGTCCAGTGTGTTGTGATGGTCGGCCCACCGCGCATTAATAAATATACGTATTATGTACCAACATTCACTGCTTATCACTTAGGGAATTCAAGCGTTGTGTTTGAATATTAATTTTGTAGCGGAAAAATCGATCAACACATACTGATACGGATCAGTATTGTCAATTTTTCGTATACATATTGACTGACATATCAATTAATAGTTTAAAAAATATTTAGAAAATATACCTATAGATGTTTCTCCGACAATGAAGTTTTTTATATAGTTATTTTAGAATAAATTAACTGAAAATTCACAGGTAAAGCTTTTATTTAGTTTTTGAAGAAGGTACACAAAAAAGTAGGTAAACAGAAATTTGAAAATTTAAATTTATGTAACATCTTATTATATCAATCTCAGTATGAGGTTAATGCAATATGTTAAAAAAATATGACTATCATACTCGTAATAAATATGGCCTTGTGATTAGTAGTAAAGTTCATTATCAAAGTCAGATATATCGCTTCAGCTGTCAAAAGTCACTGATATTACCAGACGGCAGATATTGATGACGCGGGACACTCCTACATCCACCAACATCGTACTACTCCTTTTTATATTCATATCCGACATGTATTCTTCTTTTTCCCTTCGCTATAAATACTCCACTAATAGGAAGAGTACAGCTAGAGCCCTACCCCACCTCTATACTATAGCCTCAAAAGGAGATAACTTCAACAACAAGTTTTTGCAGTCAATATGCGGTAAAAGGTAAAATTAAAAACATGTATTCTTTTTTACGTAAACCTTTAATACTGGTATTATCGCCGGATTTATAAAATCTACATTTTACGTTTACCACCCAGCGATTTAATATTAGTAATGTGTGTGGTGACGGATTAAGAATACGAAGTGTCAACACCCCCATTCATTCCGTGGGTGTCGTAAGAACTGACTGAGGGAACAAACTACGCAGGACAACAGCACTGCAAAGAGAAGAAAAACTTGACACAAACCCTATACCAACCCGTCTGGCCAGCTTGGTATAGTAGGCTAAAACCTCCTTTCTAAGGAGAGGCCTATGTCCAGGAGTGGACTATTATTAACCTATAATTACTTATTGTGTTTTATAAGTGAAATAATGATTTAATTACAAATGTATTGTTTTCAGATTACTTGCCAAATTTCATAGTTCTAGGTCAACGGGAAGTACCCTAGGAATTTTGATTCCCTTGAGAGTGTCGAAATATGCGTTTTTGGCGGCATAAGCTTTCTCTTTTTGTGTTAACTTAGAAGCTTGATTTTTACACATCTTCAAGGGTTTGTAGACCTGAGTATATGGTTTAAATTTCAACTCGGTACCTACAACAGACGGACAACAAAGTGTTTCCATAAGGGTTCCGTTTTGTGCTTTTGAGGTACGGAACATGTATTGATTGTTATATGCGTGAGCATTATCTTCCAAGTTGTACATCGTTAATTAGTCACTAACTTGTTTTGTAATTTATAATAATAACGGAAACGTCTCTTAGAATAAAACAAAGTAAACGCCACTGTTGTTGAAGATATATGTAGAAATACAATATCTTTTATTATTGCGAAAATACCTTTATTGCAAAACTATTAAGTACCATTTCGAAGATTTTTTCAATTCTAATCATAATTAAAATTACGTATTATGATTAGGTGTTAATTAAATAACCTGACATAATATATTATATTACGATGTCAAAATAGATATTTCGCTTACCATCTTAGGAGGAAGCCCGTCTTCGAAGCTTCCTCCTAAGATGGTATGGATGATCGACAGCACAACTCAGGACTTCTTCACGGAACTTACGATATTACTCACAAGACGTTGTGATAAATGTAATAAAATATATTTGGGCTTAGCTCTTACCTTTTTTATGCTTTTGTTTAATTGGGTATATTACTGTTGGTTGTTGTTGTTGGGCATGTTATCTCAATATGCTTTTTACCGATGACTTTCCAGTCCAGTCCAGTCCAGTGTGGAAGACATAGTCCCCTGATCTTTTAACAGCAGCAAAGATAAAGCTGGTAAATAATATGTAAATAGGTTGTAGGAATAAAAATGTCGTTGGTCAGTTCTACTCAGAAATATCCATCACATCGAAGTCTAATCAGGTAGCGCCAATTTGCAGTCGTATTTACTTTTTTTTTTCTGTGCCGTAACCCCCTCGGATACCACCCACCTCGGTTACGTCGGACTCGAACTGACCAAAAAGCGCACTCCGTCTCAGGTACCAGTGGCCGGGGAACCCGGTGTACCCTAGGAAAGAAATCAATGGCACTGTCGTATTTACACTATTAAAAAAAGTGTAGGTAATAAAAAAATAACAGTGATCTTTTTTACCATAAGTATCACATTATTTTAGTATTTTTGTACTAAAACTTAAGCGGCTGGAACATTTTAATATTGGATAAAAATAAGCGCAAGTAATAATTTTAATAGCAAAAGAATATCATAATTATTATTTTACCTTCAATAAATTTTAGCAGAAAAATATAAATTATTATTATAAGAATAAGTTATCTAAGATGGTTGACACGTCACCACAGTGGGGAAGACAACTTCGTGTGGGCTCTTGTCTTGTCCGAGGAGCTGTCGTTGGCAAAAGGGGCGGTGAAACAGGAATGGGAAAGTACAAGCACTGAAAATAAAATTGGACCAGTTTTCTTTTTTAATTTAATATAGGGTAACTTGAAGCACAAGTTATAACCAATCACCAGAGGAAAGAGAGAATCACCACTCCCAATATCAGATATACGAGTATCTTATGATTTTTCCTTGACTTTTCATCTATGCATTTAGTTCGTTGGTTAATTTTTTTACAATATTATTAATAGTTTACCAGCAGTATTAATTAATAGAAGCAGAAGCATGTCGTTCTAGTGTAAATAAACATCCGTGAGTAATGTCGTTGACGTTGCAAATACCGCTCCTTATGGAGACTGTGACTTGCTCTACTACAAAGATGGTCGCTATATTTACATTTGAATGGACATTCTATTTAAATTTTAGTTTAGTTATGTATATGAAGAACAATGATTTACTATTTGATAGTCAATTCTAAGGTTCCAAGTGTCAAATAAGTAGTCGGTCTGTCTGTTTGTCTGTAGATCGCAAAGATGGTTTTAGCCACTTTAGAAATGCCAAATGTCAATAACGTTTGTTACAAACTGTTTTTATCTAAGGTGAGCACATTCTCATATGCATGCATGCAGTTTTTTCATGTTATCTGAGTATGTTAAAGGTTATATTCATACGTAACACCGGTTTTATAATGTTACCGATGTCATCTTTTCTACTTAAAAACAAAACGGAAATCATAAAACTTGCTAAGTATTTAATTTTCAATAAGCATTAGACTCCACCTCAACCTCAAGCATCAACCTCCTTTCTAAGGAGAGGCATATGTCCAACAGTGGACTAGTAAAGGCTGTTGATGATGATGTTAGCAATTCTTCTAAACTGCTTTTTAGTATTAAATTTGACAGCTTTTGTATTTGTAAATGATGAAAACTTGCCCTTGGAAGCATTTACTATTAAATGTAAAATATTCATTTCTATTATGGAACTCTTCAAGTTATTTTATTCTTATATTTAATGAAAATATATAAAGACAGGTAGTATGTTTCCATGTAGTTTCTCGTTTTTTTTTAAACACCTTTAGATGAGTGAGTATATCTGAGTATATCGGAATCGACTATAATGTAATGAAAATCTTTCTTTTCTTCTGTTACCGTCGAGGTTGGTAAACCAGCTAAGAGTAAGTATTGATTGGATTTGCTCGTAAAGAATCGGCTCTTATTTTTTATGATACAAATGGGTTACATGATGATAGGTGCTATTGCCGCCAATGCACCTGAACTTTACTAGGAAAACCTTAAAAAAAAACAATGGATTGTATTATAGCATCCCGAGAAAGAAAACCATAGCGTAAAATAAAGAAGTCCCGACCGTATGCTTTGGCTTTACATTTAAAGAAAACTATGTTTATGTACTCGTACGTATATTGTGTCAACTACTTACTTTATAAAAGCTTTGATTAAGTTAGTGATCTTTTATAAGCATGTCTCTGTAATTCATCATCATCATCATGATGAATTACAGAGATGATTGATTATGTCTCTGTAATTAAAAGTGTTTAATTTATTTTCACCTAATTCGTCCACAGTTGTTTACAGTTTTATGACACAAAAACTTTATTTATTTAGCTGCATACGTGTTATAATGTAATATTTATGGAGAAAGAATTCTCATTTCCTCTATGTCTTGTATTCAATTAAAGGTATTGATTTATTATACCAAGCAGTAAAATTCATTAATTTTTAATGCACTGTATATTATTAATTTTTGGGAATAAATACATCTTTTCCCGCTGTCTACTGCTCAAGTTCTGTTTGAGGAACCCACCCAGACTCAGAGACCGCTGTAACCTCTAAGGACAGGTTCTCTGGTGGTGTGTATGGTTAGTAAATATTAATGTCAGTGCTGAAGGTGGACTTGTCTACTACCGAGTCATATAAGCGATATGCTATTTTCTACATAGTACCTACTATATGCGATGGCCAGAAACCGATTGAGTACGAAATAAACCACTCCAGTTGTTTTGTTAAACACATAGACAAAAGGCAAGTTATACAAAGAATTTATTATTACTATGTTACATATAAAAAAAATCATAATTAAAAATTTTCAATTGATCGAGTAGAAACACTTGGACATAGTGGAGGCCTTCGATAAGGTCTGGCATAAGGCGCTTCTCTCAAAGCTTTCTTCCTATTGGCTTCCCGAGAAATTATGTAACTTAGTCACCACTTTCCTTGCAGACAGAAGCTTAAGGTTGTTATCAACGTTGCATGCTCCGACGTGAAATC